TTATTTTCCAAGTTTATAGTCCATAAAGTAACTACAGAATATGTGGGCCTGCCTTAGAATCCAGTCCAGTTCAGTCAGTCCAGTCCGATCCAGTCCAGTCCAGTCCAGTCCAGTCCAGTCCAATCCAGTCCAGTCCAATCCAATCCAATCCAGTCCAGTCCAGTCCAATCCAATCCAATCCAATCCAGTCCAGTCCAGTCCAGTCCAGTCCAGTCCAGTCCAATCCAGTACAGTCCAATCCAGTCCAGTCCAGTCCAGTCCAGTCCAATCCGATCCAATCCAATCCAGTCCAGTCCAGTCCAGTCCAATCCAATTCAGTCCAGTCCAGTCCAGTCCAATCCAATCCAATCCAATCCAATCCAATCCAATCCAATCCAGTCCAGTCCAATCCAATCCAATCCAATCCAAGCCAAGCCAAGCCAATCCAATCCATTTCAATCCAGGACTTTGTAGAGCGTCAATATCTAGTTGCCAAATCGAAGGTGCTTTTTATGAATTTATTATCTTTCTTTCATCATGAAATTGGGTATTTTATATTTTGTACCACAATTGTTAGACTAGTTATTTATTTGAGGAACTTTCATTGGTACGTTTTTTTTATTCTTTGAAGATTCATGTTCTGGGATACCTTTAACTATAAAAGAAATGGATGGACAGTGAGAGAGAGAGAGAGAGAGAGAGAGAGAGAGAGAGAGAGAGAGAGAGAGAGAGACAAAGAGGGAGAGACCCCCTTGGTCTCTAAATGAGATTAGAGGCATCATTCAGTGACAACTGAAGCTAGCCATCATGCAGCCATCAGGCAGCCATCACACAGCATGTCTGGTGTGATACCAGCCCGATACCAGCTTGGAACCAGGCGGGTACCATGCGGGAACCAGGTTAGATGCAGGGGTAACACAGAGGGATGCCTGACAATCTGCCTCCACATAGACTCCTTGAATGACGGTGATGCATCAAGAGCAATGACCCTACCCCACCCTGCCCCACCCTGACCAACCCCGCCCCACCCCAGCCCCAGCCAATTCTATGGTCACATAGACACTTGAATGCCTGATGATATGTCAAGTGCATCACCTCCACCCTACCCAGCTCACCCAACCAACCCACCCAGCCCACCCAACCCAGTCAACGGCCACATAGGCAATTGAATGATAGTGATGCATCAAGTGCATTAACCTGACCCAACCAAACCCAGCCCCACCCCTCCCCTCCCTATCCCAGCCCATTCAACGATCACTAAAATGATGGTAATGCTTTAAGAGCAATGACCCTACCCCGGCTCATTCAATGGTCACATAGACACTTGAATATGTCTGATGGATTAAGTGCACTGACCCCACCCTACCCAGCTCTTTATCGCCCACTAGGTTTGTCTCATTTAAAGTGAACATACAACTTGTTGTCAGCCTTAAACTTACCATGAATGTGTTTGTAGCTTTATGAAGTTATTTGAAAGAAGACACCATGAAGTGATGGACTCACTCAATGTTTTTTGGAAAAGTTCATATACCTCAGAAACAGTGTCAAAATAGCATCTATATTTGGGCTTTACTTTCACTATATGTGTAAGCACTATGACCATAATGATCATTAGCAGCTACATTAAATAATGTGTGTTCATTCTCATCATTAGTTGATGCTAATGCTCAAGTTATATTAGGAAAGAAAGAAAGGAAAGAAAGAAAGGAGAGAAAAGAACAAGGACATTTAAAGCAAATAACCAAAAGGAAATTAAGAAAGAAAAGACACTACCAAAATACAATCTAAAAACACAGAGGGAATTGAACTATGGCAATAGAAAATCAACTTGAGCTATACAAATGTTTGGAAACATAATGTAGTTTGAATTTACCTAGAAATCAAAGTAGTATTAACAAAGATGTTTGTTAGTGCTTGTTAATCATATCTATTAGTATTGTACTTTAACCATATGTTTACCAGCCAGTACTCTAACTCCAAAGCCTTTTTTGTTTTCCTGAACGTGCCAACAAAAGGGCAAGACAAGACGTACAAATAGTTCAATGACATTGGTTGGATGTATGCGATGCACTTCTGCATCTCAGGGACGCGCCTCCCACAGGGCGAGCAAGGCCCGCCGAAATACCTTCCCCAATCATCTCATTTACCCTCCAAAATGTTGTTCTGATTGTCCCCGGGAGTTCGATATGCCAGGCAATTGTTTAACATCGCCGTGGCAACGCTCCTTTCCAACGCCCCTGTCTGACAAAGACTGGCATGAGTCTTACCTATTAACTTGTTTTGCAGCTCCAGCGTATTTAGGCTACCAATTGTGCAGCCATGAAAGATAGTTTTCTCTCTCTGCGTAAATGAAAGATATTTGTGCCCTTCCTGCAATATTTTCCAGCATTTGTCTGTCGGGTAGATGAAAGAGCGGCTTCCATGACCCACATCATATGAAATATATTTGAACATGTTTTGTGTTGATAGTTTTGATTGCTTGTACCTGTTTGTTCCTTTCAGATAATAGATTTATTGACAGTGGGGGATATGAACACATTTTGTTTTTTCAATTGGAAATTGAGTCAGTCATAATTTAGCTGACATGAACCTCCTTGCTGGCAGAAAATAACCGAAGAACAAGAAAACTTTTGTGTTCTAGGTCTGGAAATGGACTGAGTCATTGACTAGGATAGGCCTAGAAGTTCGGAATATAAAGTTCCACACAGTCGGTTGTCCTGGATATTGATCTCAAGTTGACAGAAATGACTGAATGTTAATTTCCAATCAGCATTGATGGGGATGATAGAGGGACCTATGAAATGCCTGGTCATCATGTCTAGGTGAAAGACTCTACCTTTGATATAAGTTTAGTTTTAAAACCTTTCATAACATGATAAAAATTATAAATTTGCTTTAGGATCATCTTCTATGTTTGTTTATCATGAGAATGATCTTCATTTTCAAAGATTATTCTCCTCTGATTTTGTTTGTTTTTGTTTTAGTGTTTACAACGAAAACAATATTAGGTAAATGTTGGTTCCATTGGCCTTCTAAAAGGACAAGGTTACCAGTTTTGTTATTTCTTCTTCTATTAAAAAATAGAATTAAGCTCTTAAATTTCTTGTTATAAAAGTCTGTCTCGCCTCTTGACCATGAGGTTTAATGTAATGACCAAACAAAGCCAACCAGCTAACTCTTTCGTCTAACAATGATAGACAATAAATTGTTTTTTCTTCGTCCGTCTGCATCCTTCTAATTGGCAAATTTTGCTAATGAGCAAATAAGTCAATTCCACCTTAAATTGTGGACAGATTTGGGGGAGCTATAAAATGGGAACTTGAAATACGAGGAGCGGAAGGAAGAGAACAAGTTTTTGAGTAGATTGGTTGGTCTTGTAGGTGGACACCCCATGGTTTATCAAGCCAGCTTGGTCAGGTTTGGTATGGGTCTGCTCGGCGTCAATGTCAACATTGATTTATAATACTAGGAAACATTTGTTGGACTGGTCTCCAATTCCCACACAATTCCATTTGCAACTTGTTGTTCAACTCATTGGGTACAGTTTATTTTCGGCCTAGCACACGTTTTGTATTGACTCTAGCTTGAGTTACATCTAGCTTGGTATTCAACAAGTTAATATTCATCATTCATAACTTTTGTATTTATTGGTACCTTTAATACTTGACGTATTCAAAGATATTACAGGAGAATGGTTCTTTTTTAAATATTTTCCTCTTCAGAGGTAATTTATTTAACAATTCTACAATTCTATTGCATTGAAAGGGTTTGCAAATGAATATAAACGCGTTCAACAGCAATAATAATGTTAAGAGGATTTAAATACATAATTCATTAATTCAAGAACATTGAAAAGGTTTGTAAAATGAATATAAACACATTCAACAGCAATAATATCGTCAAGAGAATTTAAATACATAATTCATAAAAACAATTCAATTTCATGAATTATGTATTTTGTTTGCCTGATCACATAACAATTTCCCTGGCATATATATCCTTAAAAACGACATACATGGAATTATTTCCTATTAAACACAGCTAGAGTGCATAGACTATCAATTATATTATTGTTGATGATATGTTTGCAACTGTTGGTTTGAAAAAAAATGAATATTGAAACATAAAGGAAGAGAGGAAAAGTTAAAGAGTTGAAAATTCTATGAAGAGCCAGAATGGTGTTAAGTCTAGATGTAAAAAAAGATAGGTTTACATCCTGTTGACTCTTATCAACTGAAAAGAAAAGCGAGAAAGTGAAGGAGATTTAGGCAGAGGAAGTATTAAAGTGATGAAAGAAATGGTGAGGTTAAGTTTTGGTGTCATGATAACTGCATTAACTCGAAAGGGCACGCTATATTAGGGTTTCAGAGTAGAGCAATATACCTTAATATGACGTGGGAAGAAAATAACAATCAAATGTACATACTGGTAGATGAACTTGTTCCTTTTTCTGTGGTTAATCCTTCAATTCTGTCTTTTCTTATGTGGTCATGATGGAGTTGTGAGGTTTAACAAAGGAGCAAGACTTTGCTTCAAACTGACCATCATGATAAAGTTTAATCATTAGGTACATTTGATACATTTTGGGGCTAGTTTATTTACCCTCAAGTGACATGTAACATCTGTGAATGGTTGAAGTGAAAGAATTCTTTAAAAAAAAAATGTTTCTAAACAAAATCTCTTAACAGTTGTTTTTTTCCTCATCAAAATATTAGAACAACTATTCATGGCAAATTTTTAGTGAATATCTTGCACCGAATGTGTCCAGAACCTTCTAGTGTTGTTGAATATATCTTTCTATGTTGCGATGTTTGAATAACATTTTAGACGCTTTTGAACAGAACAATTGCAATCCTGGATCGATAAAAGAAACTTCCTTTGTTAATAATTGTATTGGTCTTGTAAAAAAAAAAAATCTCTGAACATCTACACTACTAACAATTTACTTTTTCTTTGTTGTTTCAGTTTGTCCTGCAAGTTGTCCCAGGTCCTGCAATGCGGCTGGAAGGTGCTGTCATGAGCAGTGTATTGGTGGCTGTAGCGGATCTACCGCCAGTGACTGCACAGCCTGTCGGCATTTCCTACATCTAGGTGTATGCGTGGGACGGTGTCCAAATGGAACATTCCAGGTAAGTTAACGGTCATTCCAATCATGTTCTTGAAAAAAGACTGGACGCCCTACCTGAAGGTCAATTCCAAGCGTTACGAAATATCTTTTCCAGGGAATTTTTTATTTTTAATAAAGAATATTATGATATTTATTTTAATTAAAAATCTACAAATTAGCAACATATTAAAGTAACTAATATGACGTGCTTTCACAACATTTGAGTTTTCTACCTACCATTTAGCAGATTTGTAAAATATTTGGTTTTATGTACTATATTACAGAATGACATAGAAGGTTATTTTTTTGGTAATTCCATAACAAAGCTATTTAGATATCGGTTGATAGGAAACTCAACTCTATTTTGAAAGTACTTTGTTTTAGTTAATTCTTTGGAGACGCCATTCCATAACGCTTGGATTTGATCATAACCCTCACCCTAAATTTAATCTGAAACCAAGTCCAAACCGGGAGCCAAATACCGGTATGCTAATAAAGCTTGTGAAATGCTAAACGATAAGCGACGCCAAACAAAATTCATTAGATTTCATTTCATTTCATTTTGTTTCATTTATTTTCCACATTAAAAACAAGAAAAATATACAAGGTAACAGAATACATTGTACACATTTGTCACATAAAGCAAATGAAAAGCAAATTAGATGCAGGTCATTATCAAAGTAAAGTCGTGAATCTTGTCTAGGAGGTGACATTGCGCCATGATTCAAACAAATCGGAGACCCCACCTTGTCAAGTTGGCATTACCTGATCGAGCTGAATGGAACAGCATTGAAAGGCATGAAACATTGTTCAGCCGTCCATACTGGAGTATGCGATCGAATGGGTATGGAAGTCAGTGACATCACTTCCTGAGATTCTTTCTCAAGACTGATGCCCCGGTCATACCAAAGAGACAGACACCTGGGCCCTGTTTCATAACACTTATCATCAATATCAAGTTATAATAACTGTTATAAGCTACTGAAGTCATGGGATTTGATTGGCTGAGAGCAACTTTGTCATAGAAATTTGGCAGTAACAAGTTTTATGAAACAGGGTCCAGATTGACACCAGATTGAACAATATATTACTCTGAGTGGGCAGGGATTGAACAAACACAGTCACATCACATCAGTTCTCAAAGCACTCCATTGGTTGCCCATGAGTGGAAGCATCATTTTCTGCTCCACAGTACAATATTTCCTTTGATAAATCATTTAATTCCGTCCAGATCTTAACACTATCAAAACTCTGGATTTCTTGTTCTTCCTAAGCTCAATATTAAGTGAAGGAGAGAACCTTTGCTCATGCAGGGCCATCGCTGTGGAATGCACTCCCTTGAGAGATTCGTAATAGCAGATCAGTTGAAGGATTTACAAAAAACCTTAAATCCGTTTAGTTATGGTAGCCATATTATAATTTTTTAATGTTCAATCTTACTTCCTTTCCCTTGTTCATAATGCAGATCTTGCTCTGATGGGATATCTTTTTTATGTTTTCATTTTACAAGTGCGCCTTGAGCATTTGATTTGGAATCGGCGCCTTGCAAATCTCATTTATTATTATTATTAAAACAATACATTATTCTGTGTGGGCAGGAATCAGTCGGTAAAGAGTCTGGTTGGTGGTGTAAGTGATTCTACGCTCCACAGAATTAGTTACATGTACAGCCATGAGCCATGACAGGGGTTTTCCCTTCATAGATCTTGAATTGGCGCTAACATCGCAACACGTAATCAGACTTATATTGAATTGTAATAAAAATGCAATGATCATTACCCTGTTGATGACTACTGCATTCCGGTCTTTAATTGAAATTGAATTCCTTATTTATTTCCTTGCGTATAAGGAGAATGAGATGCGAGGTATTAACCTTTTCGATTGCATCTTTTATTTAAGAGGATGGGGAGGGGGAGGGGGGGGGGGGGTGACAAAGTTGATCTTATTGGGCATGTTGCCAAGGAGTCATTCAGTACTCTTGTCTTTGGTGGTTAACCATTTTCTAATCGCTAAGTTCATTGCATAAGGTTTTTTATGAATGATAATAATGGAAGTTGCCTCTCAATTAACATAAGAAAAGGGGATCATATGGGGGACCAACAGGCACCAATTAGGCATTGTTTGCTATATAGAGGGCGCAAGTAGCTATAAGTAGTACAGTGGGGCTTAAAATAAATTGATTTTCACATGTTTATATATTCTCTCTCTCTCTCTCTTTCTCTCTCTCTCCTAGTTCAAGAATCGTCACTGCATCACGGGAGAGCGTTGTCCATCTGGATGGAGGTTATTCAATGAGAAATGTACCGAGGAGTGCCCGGGTGGTTACATGCCAGACTTCAATGATAGCAGACATTGTCTACCATGTACTGGAACCTGCCCTAAAGGTATACCTACCTACCATCATGTGCCTTCAGCTGTATGAGCAATGTATGGTTAATAGCAGTATTAAACGACCTCCTTGCGGGCAGGTGGTGATTTTTAGACAAACCCTCAAAGTTTTAAGTTATTTTTCACCCCTTTCTTTTTTTTTACCCAGAGATAGTATACTTTAGCCTGAACAAAATCTTTTAAAGCCTATCTGCACTAGTTTGGCCAGGAGGGTTTAGACCTCCCTGCATGGTCACTGACAGGTGGTTATCTCATCAAATCAGCTCTAAATTAACATAAGAAAAAGGGGACCATGGGGGACCAATGGTCACTGCTTAGGCACTGTTTAATATATAGAGGGCGCACGTAGCTGTAAGTAGTGCAGTGGGGCTTTAAGTTGTTTTTATCTTGATAGTTTTCATCTATTTAGCATTTTAGATCAATGTGTGAAGCAAAATTTAATAACCACTTCTCTTTCTCTCTTTTCAGTATGTAAGGGCAAGACCATCCAGTCTGTGGAGGATGCGGCTGATATGAGAGGATGTACCTACGTGCATGGAACATTGACCATCAGCGTTCATGGAAGAGGTACGTACAGTAGCTAACCCCTTGGATAGGATGTAAATTGTAGGTCCTATGAAAAGGAGAGTCAAATGAAGTTGGGTGAAGTAGTAAGCATGCATGTCCCCATAGAGATAACTATTATAGAATGAATCGTTTCTCTCTATGGTTTATCTGAAGAAGTATAAAATATACCGCGATTCCTCCAACGATCATATTTATTGCATTTGCTCTATTCTATGAAAGGCTCCAAGCTGGTTCAAGCATAGCAAAACTGCTCTCTCCATGAATAGTAGGTCTAATTCCTCCTTTAATCTCCTCATGCAAAGTCACAGAGGATAATTCTCAGAAAGAATGATGATGATGATTAATGATAGGGTGTTCTTGTAAAGCGCATATCATGCCATGATATAACGTCTCTATGCGCTTCAAAAAGACCTAAGGTATTATTACCCCACCTTTAGCTCCGGCAAGCTTAGCACAGTAGTGCGTTCTGATTCATGGAATACCTCCTACCAGATAGTACCTATTTACTACACCTGGGTCGAGAGTGGCAAATGTAGATTAATGTCTTGCCAAAGAATGGTACCCTAAGCTATCACTTATCTCAAAGCATAATTCAGACTTTAGTGAATCCATTGCAGGAATGCAAATTTGAGATACTTCACTAAAACAGTCATCAAAAAATGATCCTGCATAATCTTACTTCTAGTTTTCAAAGAATTATACTAGATTTGAGATGATAAAGATATGATTTATGTCTTACATGTGGGTGGTGCTCCGAACCATCAACCCTTTCGATGCCGCTCACATTCACTCGGTACATATTTATCATTATTCTGGTCCTGTCTTGTTCTGTCATGCTATTCAACTGGTTAAAGTCTGTGTGACTCTTACGATAAAGATCCATACCCTTAGGTTCAGGTGTATCTGGTAATTCTAGGGAATCCATTCTTACGCCTTTGTCTCTGACAACTGGGTTGTTCCTGTATTAAGCTTTAATGGGACTGGGAGAATTCAGTAGTCAATTTGTTAAGTATTCTGAGGTCTATTGAAGGTCCTGGGAAATCATTTCATATTTCAAGGCTACATTGTAGCTATTTTCATAGTGGATATGGTTAAGAATACTTTTAAGATCTGTATACATAATTCTCCATTTAGGGTTTGAAATCTGGGGGACGGGGCTGGAAGTTAATGTTTGGGGGGGGGGGGAGGGCATGTGCACTGGACCCCGCTATGTGGTGAGCCCTGCATATTGATAATGTTTGTGAGAAATGTAATGTAGATACAGTGGATAGTTTTTTTGGTCAGAGTTCATACCACGTGCAGAGAGCCAGAAGGGTGGTAATCTCTGTAAATGTATATGAGTTTTATGTTGACAAGATGAATGTTTTGTTCTAGTGGGACAAAAACACGGTGACACTTTCTTTGAGAGAAAGAAAATGTCTTGAAGCTATATCATTGTATTACATTTATTTTTGTACACTTTCCTTGAGGATAATATCAAATGGTTGACAGTTATGTTTCCAATTTTATAAAGATGCTGTGCATGCTTTGAGCTCCAGGATATTAAAGTAATCTTGAAGAGTTGATGCATTCCAGAGACACTCCTATAATACTCTGTCACAACTGTGGGACAAAACAATTTAAATTGTGGGCAATGTTTGTTTTACGTTAAGGAGGATCCATTATCCACATTCATATTACAATTCTCCTATCATCTAGAACATAATTTAACAGTCATTCATCTTTTCTAATAAAATTGTTCAGATAGTTCAAAACCAATATTTTCAACAATCGGAGCTGGGATATTGTTGTGCATACATGCATGTCCATTATATTGGTTGCATAGGGCAGTTAGGATATATATTTTTTATTGGAGTATACTCAAATAGTTGAATTGTTCCTGCAAACAATCTTGCAAAGCTAGAAACATTACATTATATATTGGAAGATTTGCTCAATATTTGGTGAGATTTTATCCACTTGTTACCCACCTTGAGCAGTGCAAATGTTTCTTATTTTGAACTTACAAATATTTTTGTTTTTTGGAAGTTGTTGTTGTAGATCGGAAGGGTTAACTAACATTCACCTGTATACCTTTCATCGGCATCGACTTCCTGTATACAAAAGACCTCTATTGACTAAGCAAACCCCACCTGGGGAATGGAACGCATAGGTATATTTAGTTGAAAGGATCCAAACCTGTCACAATGTAATGAGAAGAGAGCTGATATTACATCCTCTGACCAGCACGCCAGTTAATTAGAAAGATTTTCTAGGGATTTCTTTATTTCCATTTCCGTTTCATTGATTCCTCATCAGTGAGTCACATGTTGTTTATGCCCGTGTGCTATTTCAGGTTGCATCTTGGCTTTCTCTGATGTACTGTACACTAAGCTCCGCTGGTGCAAGAAATGAGTTGTTTACGGAAGTTGATTTAGGGGATTGGTGATTATTCGCTTTTGTAATAATATTATTCCTAGATCCTACATGGTAGTTCATTTGCATGGGATTCATGATAATACTATGTTTTTCCGTCTGCATTTGTTTTCAGTTGGGGAAAACCCCTGCTGTTAGTTAACCCAAGTGGGAATGTTTACATAAGCCAGAATTCATTCACCAGTCCTCAAATTGATGCCTTTATTTGCATTTCATATCAACACCAATACCCTCACATTTCCGGAAGCAATTTTGTCATTAAACCATATATTTTCAAGAAAAGGTGTACGTGCATATCTTTAATTGCAGGTGTATAGACATGTACTTGAGGCACTTTTAGAAGAATGTTTTAAGTACATCTTAGAAGAGTGACTCAAGAAAGGTCATCTACCCTGCTATGTGATCTACTGAAGATGTAGAAACACAATGGAGATTTTTCACTTTTGTCATGTTCAATGGAAATGTTCTTAAACCAAATTGGAAAATACATATTACCCAATGAATGAAGGATGCAGATGGTTATCGGATGCTTGTAGAAGATTGTGTAAACTATTTTCTTTAGTAATTCTTAAAAAGCTTTCATGTGTTGTAAAGAATCATTTGGTAAACCATGATATCATAACTATCTGATGTTACAGAAGAACATCTACATTTTTTGCTGTGGATAATCAAGATTTCTGATTCCCAACTTGTTTCAGTAAAATATGACTTATGAGTGGCATGGTTGCAAAGACTAATCAGACAAAGTGAACTTACAAGTTGCAACAGCCTTTGTCATCACTTCTTAAAATGTGCCAATAATGACAAGAATATAACGTAAGCCGGACAAGACTTCTCCTGTAGGCAAAAAAGTATTGTAGTGTAGTGTATTGAAATTGCCTCCTTATAGTTTATTTCTCAAACTTTTCTATTGATTCTTTTAAACCTGACACTGGGTCTAAGATCCTGTTCAACAAAGAAATGCTTAGACTTCTGACTAACTTCCTTTGTTGATCCTAATTTTGAACAAAAGCGTGAGCCGAGCGTTGGTTTGAACCCTTCGACTCTTGATCTTGAGATGTACAAGTCAACTAAGTTGGAGGTTGTGTGAGAAAGCCCAGTGTGGCAGCGGTTTGACCCAAGTAGGGATGAGACCCTAAGCAAGATGACTTTACCAGTCATCCTTGATTGTAGAGACCTGTCATAACAGTGAATTGGATACCAAGGTTGATATCAAAAGAACTTGCTGGTAACTCATCCATTTCTCATTTCATGATATCGTAGACAGTGTAAGCAGCAGTAGAAGGCTGTTTAGTCCCCTTGCCAGTATATATCATCGTGATTATTATTTGAGGTATTTTGATTTATTGGGGCTTACCTTCAAGGGACTTTCCATCAGGGTCACTATACTATCAGAGCAAACCCAAGAAATATTTTGAGGTTACAGAATAAATCAGACACTGAATATGAACAAATTCATGTTAGATAAATTTAAATGCATTGTCCACTGTTACCAGGAAGGGCAAGAATTACTAGCGGTTTGTTTATATGGATGCCGCCTTCCTGGCTCTCAGCAGACGATATATAATGTTTCAATCAAAATTTGATTTATTTTTTGAATTTTATTCTTATTAATAATTTTAAAAATCGTTGTTGATATATATTTTTTCCGGAAGGGTATTTTCATGTAATCAATTGTGGTGGCAAAAGTTAGTGACATGATACAAGAGTATTTACTATTAATATTTTTTAAATTTTTGTTGAACTGTTTCATGTAAGTCAGGCAAGTCCGCGGTTATAGCAGTAAACATTTTAAAACCAATTTTTGTTGAAGTATCAAGTTTCATATCATCTGCTTTCGAAAGACCAAAGAGTTTTTTTGTTGTTTCAGGAACAGTATCCAGAAGAGTGTAATAATGTTTTTTGCTAGATTATTATATTTATCAATGGTTTCAAGGGCTTACAAGAACTTGACGATAACTCAGTGGATTGGCTTTCAAACAGCTTTCCTGTGTCACTGATCTTGATAGAAATTGGCAACCACACAAATGAATGTTTCTCATAATCTCTTCCTAGTAGAATTCCAATTTGGTAAATAGAGACAGCCAAATAAAAATAGTATATACATATACAAATTGTAAAAAATGGTATCTTTGAGCAGATTTTATGGCCATATTAGGATTATGGCAGGTCAATGTTCTTTTTGTGGGTTGATTTGTCAAAACTGGGTTATAGCATGCTGTATACAAGCTCAAAGTTTGTTCAGCTAATATGATTTTAATGGCAAGCCAAATACTTGTGATGGAAAAGTGTTAATGAACTCTGCGCTATTTTGATGATCATACCATGCACCCAAATCTCTGGGAGACTGCCAAAATTTATATTTACACTCTTGTCTCTTAATTCATTTCAAAACTTGTGTATTTAGTTAAAATTTGAAAGTTCCATGGTAGTAGGCCCCTATTTCCATGGTATTAAAAAAAAAATACTGGTACTTGATTTAAAGTACTCTGTTTGTGGAATGTACTAGGCTGATATAAATCTTTAGGACCCTTCATAAATAATAATGGAGGCCTACCAAAAATATATGATAGGGTTGAGATTTG